TACCATGAGACTTACAGTAATAGCTTACTCTCTTCGCTAAAAACCAGTAGCGGCAGCGAGTAGGGATCGCTTGAGAATTTTGCTGCCGATTTTTATAGCGGGGTGGCAAAAACCTCTACCACTGTGCATAAAAGGAGCCTAACATTTTATCATAGAAACAGTGTTCCCAATTTTTCTCTCTAAAACATTTTGAAGAGCTTGTAAAAAGATCTTACAACAAAGTGTTTGTGTAGACCTACGGTTATTGGCTATTCTAAAAATTTTAAATTTAAAATTCCCATGATATTCTTATGGAGAAGAAGGAAACCGTTGTGGTTTGATTGTTTATGGATATATTACCTATATGGAAACGTTATTTATTTTATACTACGATATTGATGTTTTATTAAAAACACATTATACTACACTTTACTCCCTGCAGCAGCATACCTAAGTACTCATTGAACCTAATCTACTTAAATAAATTAAGGCCTGCACACACCGGAATGGTCGTGGTATAGGCACAATTGTTTACCCCCCCCCCCCCCATACATTTTGGTTGCTATAGTAACAACTGATTCATATGTTCATAACAATATGCTACTTTGTTTGTTTTTAAGCTATTTTTACCTCATGCAATGGAATTTTGAGGTTTTCAGGGTATAAAATGGTAAAAAATCATATTTTACGCCATACAACACTCTGTAAAAGTCTGTTTTCTTAGTCCGACCAGAATGATTTGTTACACTCATCATATTATGGATATGTGTTCAATCTCTTAAATTTAATCATATCAAAAGTGGTCGCTTTAAATATCATGGGATACTATTTTTACAGATACCTCTGTAATCCTTTATCAAGCAAAAACATTAGTAGAAACCTGTTTAAAACCGAATTAAAGGGGGAGAGCTGTTTTGGATAACCAATTTTTTTGTTATCATATGCTTAAAATAACCAATGTTTTCCCACAGTGTGTAAAAAACATAAATTTAAGACAATGACTTTATAACCATTGAATAACCCAGTGTTTTATTTAAGCTAAAACAATGCTACAATGGGTTAGAAAACACTTTAAGCTAAATAATTAAAGTTACTAAAGCATTTTTCAGCCCTGGATTATTTTATGGAACCATTTCGGTTAACCCGAATTCGGTTAACAGGGGTTCTACTGTACTTTGTTGGTATTTTAAGCTCTTTTTAAACAGATCCACTAAACCCATGTCATTTTTAGGTTTTCAAAGCATAAAATGGCAAAAACTTATATTTACCCAATGCAACCCCATGTGAAAAGCCCATTATCATAGTAAGATTAAGATGATTTGAGAAACTCATCATATTGATTAAACCTAGTCCAATAGATTTCAGGCACCGTACAGTTCTTGTGTTAGCCACGCGCCACAAGACTAACCTGACCTTACCTAACTTATCAAAACAAACAATTGCACAACAAAACAACATCTAATTTATTTTGTAATTTTTTTACCAGTGTACACGTTGCTCAAAATCGAGCAATTGCAAAGATGTAAGGTAGTAAAAAAAAAAATAATAATAATAGTCATCATAATTTCCGATGAGTTTAAAAGACTCAACTCATAGATTACGTACCTAACAGTTCCATATAATCAACATTTCTCGTAAATATTTTATCATTTTTCAAAAGCTGATCTGGTTTTTTAAATGTTTCCCACTTATAGCCGTTAGGTTGTCCATGTCCATGTTTATCTTTGTCAATGATAATGTAATCTCCATGGTACCACCCATTACAAATTTCAGTCAACTTTTTATAGCGATAACATATTGTTTACATCACTAAGAACTACCTTATTTTCTGCATAACCTCTCTGTCGCAATTTTATTTGCATCGATTGGCATTCATTTGGCTAGTTACTGTTATATGATCTATATATATAAAATCCAATGTATGTTTATGTGTTTGTTTGTCCTTTAAGGACTCCGAAACCGCTCGACAGATTGTAAAGAAACCTTCAGGCATTATTAAGCATTATTCAAGGATGGTTTGTGTGAAGTTTTGTGCAGATCCGTCAAAAGGGCTCCGCCCCAGTGGCTCTGGAGTTTCCCATGTTAACCTTATGAGTACTCATATTTAAATGGAATTAAAGAGAATATGAACAGCTGGTTCAACTAAAAAATTTGATTCTGTGATGTTCAATAGTATTAAACAGTTAATAGGCTTACCAACAGGGTGCAGCACTATTATTTTTTTTATTTTATGACAACAGATAATTTGCAACCAAAAGGTGAGTGAGCGTAGCGAACGAACTTCAACCTGGAGGCGAGTTAGCGTAGCGAACGAGCTAACGTGAAGGCAAGTGAGAGCAGCGAACGAGCTCCAACCTAAATGTGAGTGAGCGTAGCGAACGAACTTCAACCAGGACGTGATTGAGCAATGCGAACGAGCTCATCTTGAAAATGAACGAGCATTTGACATAAAACCACATTAGGACAGGACGACGTCTGTCGGGCCAGCTAGTAAATTATATTTACCTGAAAAAATGCAGAATAGAAAGGCCTAATGTCGTTCAGATGGTTTTTTTGTTTCCCTTAAATGTGAATAATGTGAATCCTTCAATGAAAGTTTTATTAAGGTTTCTTGGATGTAGTCACAGTCTTTTAAAATCACCTGACTTTCATGAAAACATATATTTGATGATTAATGTACTTGCCGTACCAGTTTGATTCAGACTTAGAGGGGTTTCCTTTGCCAATAATCATAAAGTTAAGTCCATGTTTCCTACAAAATAGTAGCACTTCGGCTAACATCCTGGTTCATTGTTTGTGGGACTCTTCATATAGTAGCTGAAGGTGTTCTTCATTATATAGGTTGATAACGATAGTAAATTGTTTTTAAATCTCTATTTCTTCTACTTGGTGGCGTTCTATGACTTTGCTATGTTTCCATGGTTAATAAATCGGTTCTTTCAATGATTTCCCAATAAATACAGTACTAGGCCTATGTCAATTCATTTTTCTTATTTGGTAAAATGTATCAAATTGTCCAGGCTATCTCAATTTTTTACATTGTAATATGTACAAATGTAAATAGCAAGTATTTAATTTCAAATGATCAGTAAATGTACCCAATGGGTGTCATTGTATTGAAAAATAAATAACAGCAATTAAATTATACAACTGATCAAAATGTAAACAATTATGTTCTTCATAAGGATAACACGGGAACTTTAACAGCCACTGGGGCAGAGCCGAAGGGACTTTTTCAAAAATGTAAGGTCAGTTTGCAAATCTACGCGACACGCTCTTTCCAATGAGACGTCAATGGATAAAATCAGTTAAGAAATGGCGGAGGAGTTCAACCGACAAAGTTTCATGTAGCGTATTAATTATAGTACCTGAAGAGAAAATCATTAGTTTACTCTGAAAGCAGTTTACTATTGCAGATACATTAATCCACTCCCTAACTCCACACTGCTCACCTTCACTACTTCCTTCACCACTCCCTACGTCGTGGACCTGTTTGCCCTCCTTCCCTATGCCATTTTAGAATTGCAGATACATAAATGCCACGGACAGTTCCCACACTCTGCACTGCTAGCCTTACTACTTCCTTCACCATTTCCTTTGTCATTGACCTGTTTTCCTCCCTTCTCATAGCATTTTAGGATTGTAGATACCTTAATCTAATCCCCATTAACAGTTCCCACACTCCAGACTGCTCACCTTTACTACTTCCTTCACCACATCCTACGTCGCGGACCTGTTTCCCTCCCTTCCCATAGCATTTTAGGATTGCAGATACCTTAACCTAATCGTCATAAACAGTTCCCACACTCCACACTGCAATCCTTTACGATAATCATGGATAAAAAAGTCCTGCTACAATGTATCAAGTAATCTTCAGTATAATATTTGCTCAATAGTAACAACTGACGTTTTTTCTTTTGTAGTGCATTTGTAATTTGCTAGTATACTTTGGATGGACAACTAACTTACAAGTCTTTTGTTTACTTTTTCCTTGTTATTTCATTCAGCCAAGATGGTTACTTAGCAACCCATAAGACTAATGTTAAAAAAATGTGACTTTCAGTTCCATTTTTCTACGTAATTAGATTTTTGTTGGCAGTGCAGTAAACTCGTTTTAGGCCAGAAATAAACTATATACAACATTTGAAGAAAATCGTCGGAGCCGTTTTCGAGAGCTTGGTGCAAGCATACATACAAGCAAACATTGCTAGTAGAGTACAGGATAGATTTGGTTTTTTTTTTGGGGGGATTTTAGTTATTTAAATTTTTTTTCTATGTAAGTATAATACAATGTAAGCCTACAAAAACTATAATTTATGTAATCAAACAAATAAAGTTATATGATTGTGTTTACTTATTTATATCACTGTTTACTTTTTCCCCTACCATTAATAATGTATCATTCATGACCCAGGCCTTGGTATAGTAAGATTAGTTGGTGGTTTTTAAATTTTCTGTTAAAATTCTGTATTCTGAAAAATTCAATAATTAAATTGAATATTGATCTGTCATTTACTGTTGAACAGATTTCCCTGCCGTAATAAAGAAATCCCAACCTCCATAGCCTAAAATGAAAATATTTTTTTTTGTCTGTTTAAACCAATTAAACTTCCTCAACCATAACATCATTTTATGTTAGGTAATAGGCACCTACTTAATTGTGCAATACCAACGCCGAAACCAGGTCGTCCAAGTCCAAAAATGTGCATTAAGAAATGGTATGTTATATAGTGATGGGCGGATCCAAGAAAATGTTGGTACCGGATCCAGATACCAAACAATTTGGGCGGGTTAAAAAAAAACTTAATTAACAGAATGCCAATTTAAATCATACAGTTTAAAATTAAATTGGTAATGTTTAAAGGTTAATTTATCCTTAACACATATGCTTTAACATTTAACAAGCGTTTAATGTTAAATGCTAGCAGTTTTCTCATATGAATGACAAATTCAGTACATTTTCAATTTAAATTAGTCGTTTGGTTTGTTTTTTTTTACTAATTAGTATATGAATTTTCTAGACAATTGGAGGCTATAATTCGCATTGCTGAATCTTTGGCCAAGATGCAGCTGCAAGCTTTCACCACAGAGACTCACATTGACGAAGCTCTGAGGCTGTTTCAAGTGTCGACTCTTGATGCTGCCATGTCCGGTAGCTTAGCGGGTAAGTTTGAGAAACTCTAAACTTCAATCTTCATCCGTTTTTGAAGGGATGATGAGTTTAGTAATGTATTATTCATTTTTCTTCAAAAACCTTTCTCATACTTTTGTTTCAGCAAATTTCTACATTAGGGAAGACGCTATTACCCTATGTGGTATGGTACGAGCTAGACCTGTGACCAATAAACTTTTTCATTTAGATGTTCCTATAGGCCAGAAACAATATTCTTTCAAATTAATGTGTGTCCAAGCACAATTACTCAAGTTAAATTTTACTGATTTGGATGAAATGTGGTACTAACATATAAACCTACCTTAATTTAAACAAAGTGTGAACGACCATGATGTGACTATGCAAAAAGGGTTTTATAGGAAACAAAAGCATGCCTACATTTGACCCAATGAATGTAAAATTTTTCAATTGAAATAGAAAGCATACGGTATTGACAATTTAAAAAAAAATTGAGTTAATTGAAGCATATGCTGGGTACAGTTCCCCAGAGAACCTGCAATATATTAACAGTTTAAATATCAACATATAGCAATTATAATTAGCTTCAATATATTGGGGTTTGGCATATTTATTTATTTTATAATAGGCCATTATTATTTCACTAAACGACACTTTATTATCTTCCCTGTAGAAGCAAATCTAAGTAAGTACTCCTTAAATTGAAACAGGGTATGAATCTGACATGTCTATATATATTTGAGTGAAAACAAACCGGGCAAATGGAAATTTGCTTATTCTGCAAATTTACTGTGGCAGGGATATTTATGTATGAGCTATTTTTTTTATTTTTCATTAACTAATGTACAATATTTTATTATTTCCTTTGAACTGTTAAATGATTCTTTTCAAACACTTAAATGAATGAAACCCCTATAAATGTTAGTCATTCACTTTTCACATTGACGGTGAGATTACGATTTAGGCAGCAGTGAGGCAGTGAGGTTTGTTTGTTGCATTAATCAGACCATTGAATTTTAGATTCTGAAGTAGTCATGCCATTTATATGGCACAATTGTAGCTAATATTTTATCCAGATAGAACTTGAATGAGCCTCTCATAAAATGTACTACTTTGTTAGTTTTTGTTACATTGATAGTTGGATATGACAGTTTAGTGTAACCTATTGGACAAATATAAGCAATTGACAATTAGCCCATTGTGTCGGAGGCTCAAATCAACTATGTTGCAACTTACAACTTAACAAATTTAACATGGCAATGGAATTTGTTATTATCAATATGACATGTTTCAGGGGCTGAAGGTTTCACTTCTGAGGAGGACCAAGATGTAATTTCAAGAATAGAAAAACAACTCAAGAGAAGATTTGCCATAGGTTCCCAAGTGTCTGAACATAACATTGTGCAAGACTTTTTGAAGCAGGTAGGTGCAGGACTTTTTCTACCATAACATTTTGCATACAAAGAAGTTTCTTTTAATACATGTTTTATTTTTATTTATTTTATTTCAAAGACTTAACATTCCAAATTCTTTTGTATATTTAATTTGCCAGAACAATACACGGTGGATTGTACCAAATCATGTATTTTACGTGTCTGTTATTTCTAATGGCTTTAAATGTATTATTTGAATGACTGTACTCTGTGTACAAATTTATTTATCAGTCTATTTGAATGGAGTCGTCTTTTTTTTGTTTACACTGAAACTTCAGATAGGCAAATTTTACAACACTTCCTAATGTAAAACAACATTAATCCATTACACACATTACAGCATTAAATTGTGTATTGTAGTCAAACAAGCATTTTCATTCAAGCTTATCTTTCTTTTGTAAAAAAATGTGTCCCATAAAGCACAAGAGTTTGAAGTTCAAGAACATGAATTAGGTCTTTATTCTATAAAATGGATAAATTAACACGTTGAGTGTGGCCTATGTTATTTCACGTGGTGCGGAACTGGTGTGCCCAAGTTTAATGTGGGGGGTTGTCTTGGATATAGTGAAATGAAATAGAGTGATTACTGTAGTGTAGCATTTTGGAAGGAACCTAACCTCAAAATTAGCGATGGACGAGATTGTATTTTTGTTCAAGACGATACGGGATTTTTCATTTCTCATAAAATTTCGAGACAAGATCGAGACGGGATTTCCCTTCTCAAACATAACGGGAAATGCATGTTCAACATTTAACCTGATTTTGTAACATTGTTAAATACCTACTGATTTACGACAGATGACAATTAAATACAAAAATTATAATAATAGGCAAGAACATTTAAAATCTTTTACTAAAAAACATCAGTATAGAAAAGAAATGTTAATTAGACCTACCTTATTAAAAATAATTGCTATATTCTAAGGCTTAACCTTACGATCCAATTGATTTATTGTGGCTAGGTTTCTACGCCTAAGCGTTATCGTCAGTCCTATGCTAAGCTAAACTTTATGTTTTTCATCTCTTACTTGAGATATTGTCGGTTGGATAGAATTTTTTAAAAAACAAACACAGAATATACATAAATATTTACAAAGACATAGTGGAGAACTTAGATGCATGGCCATGATCTTTTCAATCCTAACCTCCAAATTTTGAACGTGATAAGGGTGACTTTACTAACTTCAACTTCTAGCATGGTTGTTATACTGACGATAACGCTCCGACGTAGAAACCTATGTCTCCACAATAAATCAATTGGATCGTAAGGAAAGCCTTAGATTATAGCAATGTTTAGTAACGATCCAGAGGCTATTTCTCCAAATTGAAAATAACTCTAACCCATAGGGAACATGGTGCTATCAGTAAGGATATATTTCAACCTTGAAAAATACAAAATTTATCAGTCTGAAACATCAGTCTTGCTAGTTAAGTATTAAATTACAATGGTAGAACTTTAAAAAATACCAAATTTATCAGTCTTAAACATAAATTACCTACTAAATATTAAATAACAATGAATATTTTATTAATACTAGTGTCCTTGTTGCTCGAATTCGAGCAATTGCTTAGTATCACAGTCGTTATTTTCAAACGAATAACAGTCATAATTTCTGATGACTTTAAAAGATTTGACTCAAAGATTAATACTCAAGATGTACATAACAGATAGATATAATCAACATTTCTTGTAAATATCTTATCATTTTTCAAAAGCTGATCTTGTTTTTTAGTGTTTTCTTACAAATAGCCTAACTCATTGCCGCATTAGGTTGTCCATAATAATAACGATTATAAATTTAAAAAAAAAACATTATTTCTATTTCTTCTCCTTGGTGGTGTTCTTTGCCTTTCTTATGTTTCCATAGTTTGCAAATGGGCTCTTTCAATGATTACTAAGAAAATGCAGCACAGTGTTAATTCAATTTATCCAGTTATATATCAATTTATCCAGGCTCTCGCTTTTTTTCCATTGTAATATTTACGGCAACCCTAATTCAAATAGTAAATATTTCATTTCAACCAAGTCAGTAAATGTTTGTAGCAAACTGTTAAATTAGCAAACTTATTGACTGTTTACAATTAACATATTTTCTTCTTCTCACTTAATTTCTGACAACAGCTGGAATTTCATAACAATTTTTGTTTCCCATGTTAATCTTATGGAGAAATTTGAAACTTTAACACGTTCGCGGCGGCACGTCAAATGGCGGGCGTATCCCAGGTGCGGCGCAGCCCTCAGCATCGACAAACCCGATTGCCGCGTGTGATTGGCTTTCCAATTTCGGTCTGACAAATAGCAAATAACGTGCGAGGATGTCCTGCTTTACAACAAGAGTCGACGTAGTTCGCTAAACACCAACAGATAGCAGCACTGCTTGTAACGTAGCCGGTCCCATTGGTCCAATTTACTACCAACCTACACCACAACAAAATACAGTATACTATTGAGCAGTGCTGTGCGAGGTTTCAAGTTTCTAGCTCTAATCCTGGCTTAAAAATAAATCATTTCGTACTGCATTGCAGCTTGGGAGCGATCGCACCCACCAGGATGGCATTAGGGTTCCGTATGGGAGCGATCGCTCCCATGCCGCCGCGAACGTGTTAAAGGGCTCCAGGGCCTCACTCTCTAATTATTTCCCTAAAAAGAAAGTTTCCTGCACAACTTCACGTTACGCTCTTTCCAATGACACCAAAAACATGTCAATCGGTTCAGTAGTTTCGGAGGAGTAATTGTCACAAAAAACCTGCTTGCGTATTAAATAAGTATAGATTTAATATTTTCATATGTTTATAATTAATATTTTAAACTTGTCTTACTAGTTAAGAATCAAGTAACAATTTTTCAGTCTTGGGTCATTTTCAGAATGATTTTAGAGTGACTTGTTTTGGCTATGTTTACAGTAATAAAACATGTCTCACACAGCTTACACTAAAAAAAATTTCTCATCATTTGCAATGTCAAAACAAAAAATTATAAAATAAAGCAATATTTGCATGTCAAGAATTAATTAAATAAGAACGCCTTCTCAAAGGAAAAGCAACAACAACACGTTCCTGTATTGTGGGAATTGCATTGACTTTCTGTATGCGTTTTTAACTGGATTTTTTTTTATAATCTTGTCTCAAAAAAATCTTGATCAAAATAAAATCTTGTCTTGTAGAACAAGATTTAAAATTTCTCAAAATTTTGAGACCCGTCCATCCCTACTCAAAATTGTACTTGACGCCTATTTTGCGGAATTTTTTAGTGGTATATCTCAGGTGTTTCGTCCCTGCTTTTTCCCTCGATTTAACAGTACGGATTGTCAGCTAGCAGTTATGTTTAGTGCTGCTATCTGTTGGGTGTAGGAAACTAAGTTCAAAACGATTGGAACGCAGTAGACCTACATGCAACAATATGCTCTCATTTGGATGAAACTAAATTTAAACTGTTTTTCCGCACTTAACCACGCTGCCCATTAGCTAGTCCCGGCACCCGCCCAGGCTGGCCAACGTGCAACCTCACTGAATGTGTAAATAACCACACACCTCTGGTGTTTGTATCAATGTAAGTTTGATAAGCGATGTGAATGTATTCTTACTAAAGAGCTGAAGGCTGAATAGGTTTTCTTTAGCTTTTATAGGAAAACCAGGCTTACCTGTACCGTGGGTGACCCTTTTCAATGTGAAAAAGAAAAAATGTACATAAACACAAAATTGAAGTACCTATATCATACTTGATGACCCCTTTGTCAATCACTAAAAAGGAGGCACTGTACCAGTAAGCCCTTTCCTATCAAAAACAAAATCAAACTGTTAAGCAACATGATAATTATTAGAACTTTTAAAGATAACCAATGTTTAAAATTTAATTCCTTTTCACTTACTGTGTACTTCTTTGGAATTACTGTTCATCACTACTTAGTTTTAATGATTTTGAAACTATTAGTCTCTTACTAAACAAACTGGAAAAAATTTGGTTTTGTGAAAAATTTGTAAAAATTAAATTTTGAAATGTAGGGTACTTAGTCCAAAAATAACATTACACAAGCAATGACAATTTCAACTGTTGATTTTTAATCATCGTTTGACATTTACTATATTTCAGAAATACCCAGAACGTGCAATTTACAAGGTGATCCACACGATGATCCGCCGAGGTGAGTTGCAGCATCGTATGCAGCGTAAGATGCTCTACAGACTGCAGTGATCTACTGTTGTAGCTCTGAGACAAACGGATACTCGGCGTGGCACTCCACTCTGTGATCAAAAACGTTTTGTAACTATTCTCGCTTTATGTATACATTTTGAAAATAAATATCCTGTTTTATCGAATTAGACATATATTACTCTAGGATATGTGTATTCTTTAAAACCAACATTTTTATTTCAAAATCTTTGATATTAAATTAAAAGATTATGAAGATTATTTTGATTAAATTTACATTTTAAGGAAGTAAAGTCAACAAGTGTCAAATACTGATTACCAAATCTTAAGTTTCTTTCTTGGGTTAAGATAAAATAAATTATCACCCAGAATTCCCTAAAATTATTTTTTTATACTTTATTTTGCTACATTTCATAATTGTATTTAATCAAAAAGGTCAATGTCAAAATACAAGAGTTGACTACAGTGTCAGTTTAAATATGCACTAGGGATGGTCAAGTCTCGAAATTTCGGGAAATTTTTGGGAAATTTTAAATCTCGTTACACGAGACGAGATTTCTTTTTGGCCGAGATTTTTATCGAGACGAGAATAAAAAAAAAAAAAAAAAAAATTAAAAACGCCTGCAGAAAGTCAATGCAATACCCGCAATACAGGAGCGTGTTGTAGTTGCGTTTCCTTTGCGAAGGCGTTCTTATTTAATTAATTCTTTAAATGTAAATATTACTTTAATAACATTTGAGAAGTTTTGTTAAGTGTAAGCAGTGTGAGGAATGTTTTATTACTATAAAAAGTCAAAACAAGTAACTATTTTATAAAAATTAATATTGCTTTTATTTTATGATTTATTTTATTTTAGGATAAGTTGAACTCTATCCTAACTGATATCACTATGTTTCCTAATCGTAGGCATTTTTAATAAGTGAGGCGTGATTAATAAAAAAATGTTATGCTGATGTTTTTTAATAAAAGATTGTAAATATTCTTGCCTATTATCATTATTTTTGTATTTAAACAGTCATCTAACAATGTTACAAAATCAGGTAAAAATTTTGAACGTGCATTTCCCGTTGTGTATGAGAAGGGAAATCCCGTCTCGATCTCGTCTCGAAATTTTATGAGAAATAAAAAATCTCGTCTCGTCTCGAACTAAAAATCCAATCTCGTCCATCCCTAATATGCACTGAAAACAAACCAGTCCTGAAATAAAAACCACTAACTAGTCTTTCAGCAAAAGTTATTCAAAATTAGGTATTGGGGTTTCGAACTAACTGACACTGCCCGGTACAAGTCGTCCTTTTATTTCACCATACTTTCATTAAATGAAACCTTCATAAATAGTATTCCATTAACATTATACCTACTTTGAAGCATTAAAAATATCAAAGTATCAATAATTATCAGTGCAAAGGTGGCACAGTATATTTTACCAAACCAAGCTCTGTTTGGAAAATGTGAGTCTAGAGAATACCACTGCAGTTATTGCAGCTTACAACCAATGAAAAATAAGTTGATGGGCAACTTTATTAATCCTATTTCCTGGCTGAAAACTTAACGTTAATTCACATTAACTAACATTTTCACAATTCCCTCCTTGGCCAGGTGTTGCACTTAAGCATGAAAAGATCCATTTATATTTCAGTCACGTTAATATAAACCTAAATTGTCTCTCTCGTACAATTAAAAAATACTATAGCATAAATCTTGTTTCAACAACTAAAAATTAATCATGTTCAGAAATGTAAATACAGTAGAACCCCTCATATCCGAACATGACAGGACAGTGCCACGGTCGAAACGGCCAAAAGGTCGGATATCGGGAATAGCATATTAGGCTAGTCAAAATACGGTCCAACATCAAACTTAAAGCAATAGAAATTAAATATATGGGATTTTGTCAACAAAGGGGTCTACATCATCATACTAAAAATCGAGAAAAATCGAAGTGGCGGAAAGCCGCCATATTGGAAAAAAGCTTCCGCCATATTGGATTTATGTAAGCTTTTAGTAAAATGGATATAGTTTGACAACTAAGCGTCTTAAAAATCTGCAATTTGTTTTATGGCTTCCTCATTAAGTCTACTTTAAGATAACAACAACTTTTATATCATTTCAATATTTTTTTGTTTAAATAAAACAGTTTTAAATTTTAAAAATACCACATTTCTAAGATTTTTTTAGTAAAACCTTCAAACTTTTGCTAATACAAACAAAAAATACAAACATTGTGGTGGCCCGGTATAGTACAAGGTATTGAAGAAACAGTGTCTTCTTGTTATATTTGTCAGTGTACGAGGAATGCAGCTCCAAAAGTCCCTCTCCAACAGTGGCCCCGTGTGTATGGCAGATGGCAACGGGTGCACATAGATTTCGCTGAAGATACTAATTCTAGGCAACAAATGTTAGTACTAGTAGACAGTTTTTCCAAGTGGATCGAGGTGTTTGTTATGAAATCTACTAGTTCTCTCAAGACCATTGAGCGTCTCCGTTCACTTTTTGCATCGTATGGGCTTCCGGACACTCTAGTATCTGATAATGGCCCTTCTTTTACAAGTTTTGAGTTCAAAGAATTCTTAAAGAAGAATGGAGTAAGGTTTGTCTTATCACCTCCTTATCATCCTGCGTCAAATGGTGCGGCCGAGCGGTGCGTTCAAGAAGTGAAGAAGAACCTGTTGAGACAGGTGTTGAGTGAAGGTGGTACTGGTTCTCTGACTTTGCAACATAAACTTGATAACTTCCTAATGACATACAGAAATACACCTAACACTGTAACCGGACTTACCCCGGCAGAATTGTTTCTCAACTGGAAACCTAAAACTAGGCTTGCACTTCTCAAACCTAACCTCAACGCTCGTATTGACACGAACCTGGACAGACAGAAGGAGAGTTCGGATAGGCATAGGGGAAGGGCACGATCCTTTGAAGTTGGAGAGAAAGTGTTCGTCAAAACTGTCAGGCAGGAAAAGATTGACTGGGTACCTGGAAAAGTTCTGGAGATAAAAAGTTCTGTAATATATCTTGTTAGTGTATTGGGAAAAGTTAGGCGTTGCCATGCTGACCACCTCAGGTCTAGGGTTAACATGGAAGAGGAGGGGATAGCAGTGCCAAGTTGTGAGCCAAGGTCTCTCATGAAACCAGTACTTCCTGAGCGAGGGGAAACTTCAGAGGACAAGGAGAGGCAACAAGTTTCGCCCAGGCGGCAATCTCCATTGAAGGACCCTGAGACTGCAGCGGTTCAGCCAAGACATGAGGATCCACCTGCGGTAGTGCAGTGCAGCCCGCCCAATCTTAGAAGGTCAAAAAGGACAATACAAAAGCCTGAAAAGCTAGACCTTTAAGCTATTCAGGCAGAAGTGAGAAGAGTTTATTTTAGTTTTATGAGAAGAATTTTTAAGTTGGAATCAAGGTTTAATTAATAAAAATGAAAAAAAAAAATTATTATGAAGAGAAAGTTTTATGTTGGAAGAGTATGTTATTTGTGGTCTTACAGCAGTAGTGTGGGCCTAATCTAAATGGTGGCGAGTGTAATATAGTAGCAATAGGGCCATATTAGATTATTAGTAACCGGAAACAGATTAAGTTACTGGGTGGCTGCACTGCCTACATCGGCGTGGAGCTCCCTGATTGGCTGCCGATCGGTCAAGGAGTTTTCCGTCTTGATGATCGTCACTTCAAGTCTAGCAAGGTGCGTAATTAGATGTCGCCATGTTTTCTTCTTAATAGTTATAGTAGTTACCACATTATTTATGGTCTGAATGTGTTGATTAAATGTTTGGCTTTATTTTTATTAATCACTAATAAAATCTGACAAATTTAAATTGACTCATGAACCTACATTTAAAATTATTTTATTTTATTTTGAAAACTCTCTTTAGTTAAATACATATATCCTCAATCTTGAATAACTCCAAAAACTCTTTATAGTCTTAAATAATTCGGCAAAGTATTGACTTTTATTTTAGCTATGGAGTACGTATTTATTTATTTAGAATTGAGAATAAACGTCTTTAACTGAAGACAATTCACAAAATAAAAATTTTGTAATCCATACCTATAAAAGAGGAAGGTATGTATGTATGTATGTGTCCTAGACTCCGAAACCGCTAGACAGATTGTAGTGAAACTTTCATGCATGCATTATTAAGCATTATTCAAGGATGGTGTGTGTGAAGTTTGGTGCAGATCCGTCATAAGGGCTCTGCCCCAGAGGGTTTTAAGGGGTCGATTGTCATACTTTTGGAACTACAATGCATACAAATAAATATAATTTAAAAGCAGTTTGTTTACTTTCATCAACTGTTTTGTAGGTTTGAGTTATCACAACATTCTGTATTACTCATGATTTGAAATAGTGCCACACTGTTTTCACAGAATGCAGCACAGAAAACTATTTTACTTTTGGATAAGTCCATATATATTAAACCTAAACACAGCATACAAGTGCACTGAACAACGTTTGAATTCTCAAATGTTAAATATGTAAACATAAAAACCTTTATCAAAGTATTATAAACATTAAAAGGGATAGCAATGCCTAAATAGCTTTATCTTTTCTTCTATACCCACACAATTTAACATAAATTATTAACACATTGGGTGCGGCGGTATCCATATGGATACCTGGAGTCCATCACGTAGAGGCGGCGGTATCCATATGGATACTTGGGTCCGCCTGAACTTCAATATTTTCCTGTGGCTCAGCCGTTTGATATTTCGAACTAATACTTTGTAGCCACCTGCGTTGACACAGTTGAATGACCGTGGTGACCTTGGTTTCTATTTTTGTCGCGTTATCAGTAGGGGGGGCGGGATGGGGGTGGGCGAGCGCGCCACGTGCGTTTGTTTACGACCCTTTGCAGAATGTTTGGGCCCCTCTTGTCATTTTATTACTTTTTTACAGTCTGTTATCTGTTTAGTTGATGATTTGTCGTGGTCGTGAGTAGTCGGGAGTTATTCGAGCGTGTAACTTAGTGCCGGGAATCTCTGTATTGTTTTGTTTAGTGTATAAACTATATATTATCTATATATTATTGTAGTGTTCCGTTTCTAACTGTCGTAGTGAATATTTTATTATTATAGTGAAAATAGTTATTTGTGTACAATGGATCCAAGTCGACCTGGACCTTCCACGGCCCCTAACGTCGCTGTAAATTATGACACAGACGAAGACGACCCTGAAGCACGCGACC